CAAATAAATGGAAAGATTTCCTGTACTCATGGACTGGAAGAATCAACATTGCCAAAATGTTTATGCTACCCAAAGTGATCTGAGTATTCAAAACAACCCCTTTGAAACTCCCAATGGCATTTTTAAAAAGTTGTTTTTTTTTTATTGTTTGGGATTCGTTGAGCATATAAAGAATTAGGTTACACTGATTGCATTTGTTAAACTCCCTCTTATACTTGTGTTCCCACCCAAGAGGTATGCCATACACTGTGTCTCCTAAGTCTCCCTCCCCACCATCACCCCCCTATACCACCCCTTATATTAGTTCACCTAGTGCCTTCATATTAGAATTGAGTACACTGGATTCTTGCTTCTCCATTCTTGTAATGCTTTACTAAGAAGAATGTGTTCCATTTCCATCCAGGTTAATACAAAAGATGTAAAGTCTCCAAAAGACGTAAAGTCTCCATCTTTTTTAGTGGCCAAAAAGTATTCCATGGTATACATATACCACAGCTAGTTAATCCATTCCTGGGTTGGTGGGCATTTAGGCTGTTGCCACATTTTGGCGGTTGTAAATTGAGCTGTGATGGACAGTCTATTGCAAATGTCCTTATGATAAAACAGCGGTTCTCAACCTGTGGGTCACGACCCATAGGAACTGTATTAAAGGGCCACAGCATTAGTAAGGTTGAGAACCACTGTGATAAAAGGATTTTTTTTCTTCTGGGTAGATGCCTAGTAATGGGATTGCAGGATCAAATGGGAGGTCTAATTTGAGTTCTTTAAGAATTCTCCATACTTCTTTCCAAAAAGTTTGTATTAGTTTGCAGTCCCACCAGCAGTGTAAAAGTGTTCCCTTCACTTTACAGCCACCAGGATCTGTAGGTTTGAGACTTTATGATGTGGGCCATTCTCACTGAGGTTAGGTGATAATCTCAGGGTAGTTTTGATTTGCATTTCTCTGATGATTAGGGATGATGAGCATTTTTTCATATGTTTGTTAGGCATTCATCTGTCTTTTTTAGAAAAGGTTCTGTTCATGTTTCTTGCCCAGTGATAGAAGGCATTGTTAGGTCTTTTTTTATTGATTAATTTGAGTTCTCTGTAGATCCTAGTTATTAAGTCTTTGTTCAATTCATAATATGCAAATATCTTTTCCCATTCTGAAGGTTGTCTATTTTCTTTGGTTGTTGTTTCCTTAGCTGTACATAAGCTTTTTAGTTTAATTTAGTGCCATTTGTTTATTATTGTTGTTAGGGCAATTGCCATAGAAGTCTTCTTCATAAAATCTTTCCCTAGGCTGATATGTTCAAGTATTTTTCCCCACACTTTCTTCCAGGATTTTTTTTGTTTTGTTTTGTTTTTTTTATTGAGACAGAGCCTCAAGCTGTCACCCTGGGTAGAATGCTGTGGTATCACAGCTCACAGCAACCTCCAACTCCTGGGCTCAAGCGAATCTCCTTCCTCTGCCTCCCAAGTAGCTGAGATTACTGCACTGCTGCAACGCCCGACTATTTTTTGGTTGCAGCCATCATTGTTGTTTGGTAGGCCCGGGCTGGATTCAAACCCGCCAGCTCAGGTGTATGTGGCTGGCGCCTTAGCTGCTTGAGCCACAGGCGCCAAGCCTTCTTTCAGGATTTTTATTGTTTCGTGTCTTAGGTTTAAATCTTCAGTCCATCTTGCATCAATTTTTGTAAGTGGTAAGAGGTGCAGGTCCAGTTTCAGTCTTTTATATGTTTATCCAGTTCTCCCAATACCATTTATTGAAGAGGGATTCTTTTCCCCATTGTATGTTCTTGTTTGGTTTATCAAAGATCAGGTAGCTGTGCAATATTAGTTTCATCTCATGGTTTTCTATTTGGTTCCAAATGTCAATGTCTCTATTTTTATGACAATGCCATGTTGTTTTGATCACTATGGCCTTGTAGTATAGCCTAAGAATTGCCTTGGCTGGCTCGGTGCCTGTGGCTCAAGTGGCTAAGGCGCCAGCCACATACACCTAAGTTGGCGGGTTTGAATCCAGCCCGGACCCGCCAAACAACAATGACGGCTGCAACCAAAAAATAGCCAGGCGTTGTGGC